GGACCAACCCTTTCCCTTCCTCCTTATAAATGTATGAAATGCCTTTGGATTTTCCTTTATCAGGTTTCCCAAAGACATTTCATGGCTCCTTTTAGCCCTCTTAATTACTCGTCTTGAGTTCTTTCCTGCTATCTTTGTGTTCTTCAAGACTCTGTTTGTCTTCAGTTTCATAATCATTGTGTAAGCCTCCTTTTTTTGACTAAAGATAAGAGCTCCCTCCTACACCAACTCTTTAGCCACACATTCAATTGCATTATCTTCCTATTTCTGGCTTCACTGGCACGTGGCACAAGGAGTAATCCTGAGAATACAACCCTAGAAGTCCTGCTTTTCAATTTTCTATATAACTCCCTAAATTCCCTTTGCAGGGTATCATCTCTCATCTTGTCTATGCCGTTAGTACCAATATGTACCACAATCTATGGCTGCTTACCCTCCCCTTTCAGAATATCCTGTGCCTATTTAGAGAGATCCATAAAAAGAATTTCACAAATTCACTATCCTTTGAGAGAAGGGATTCCTCCTCAGCCGTGTTTTAAATGGGCAACCCCTTACCCTGAAGTGACACCTTCTGGTCCTAAGCTCTCCCACAACCTCTGTGCATCTACCCTGTCAAGACCTTTAAAAATCTGGTGTGTTTTAATAAGATTTAAGAAGATATCAATCTTCTAAGCTCCAATGAGTACAAGCCCAACCGTCTCAACCTCACATCTTAAGACAATCTTTCCATACCCAAACTCAACCTAGTAAAACCTTCTCTGGACCACATCCAATGTCAATACATCTTTCTTCAGATAAGGGGCCCAAATCTGTTCACTGTGCTCTAACTGTGGTCTGACTAGTGCCTTCTATAATTTTAGCAAAACATTCCTATTTTTATACTGCATTTCCTTAGAAATAAAGGCCAACAGTCCATTTGCCTTTTCTATCACCCACTGAATTTGTATGTTAGCTTTTTGTAATCCATGCACAAGGACCCTAAATCACTGTGCTGCACACTTCTGTAGTCTTTTCCAATTTAAATAATATTCAGCTCTTGTATTCTTCCTGCCAAAGTGAGTAACCATACATTTTTCCACATTATATTTCATCTGCCAAAATTTTGCCCACTCACTTAACCTTTCAATATCCATCTGCAGACTCTTTGTGTCATCCTCACTACTTGCTGTCTGTTCTTTTTTTGAGTCATCTGCAAACTTGGCTATATTACATTCACTTCCATCATACCAATAATTAATAGTTAGCAAATAACTGTGGCTGCAGCACTGATCCCTGTGGCACATCATTAGTTACAGCTTGCCATCCTGAAAATGACCCCTTTATCCCAACTCTTTGTCTGTTAGTCAGTCAATCTTTTATCTACGCTAATGTGCTTCACAAACACCTTGGACTTTTATTGAGTAGCCTAATGCTTAGCACATCAATGAACGTCTTTTGGAAATTCATATAGATTATATCCATTGGTACTGCTTTTTCGATCCTGTTTATATTCTCCTCAAAAGAACTGTCATAGATGTTTCAAGCATGATTTCTACCTTTTGAAGCCATGCTAAATTTTCTTGAATTATGTATTTCTAAATATTTTGCAATATATCCTTTATAATAGACTCTGGTATTTTCCCAGTGGCAGATATTAACCTGACTATCCTATAATTATTTCTTTTTCATTGCCCTCTCATTTTGGAGCTTATTTTTCTCTAAAGAACAATTGTCTTTATAATAGTTTTTCTTGGTATATCTATCATAAACATCCTAAGCATCTTGAACTGAACACCAACTTCAATTTTAAAATTCCTTCCTTTTCTGGAATCATGCTGAAATTGAACCACACTGTCCAGACCACTGCTTCACCCAATGTGACTCAAGTGTTAGTGTGTCTACCTTACCTTTGTACCATTAAACTTAATAAAGCCAATGTCCCAGGCTGGTAAAATGCAAGTTGTCACCTGACATGAGGAGGGGTTCCCAATTGCATACAACTCTTTGAGGGAAGGCTATGAGCAAAAAAAATGTAATTTTTTTAACTGTAGGTATGTCTGACCCACAGCTTCACAACCTCTACCACAGGTAAGGAAAGAAGGCAGGTCCTGAATCCACCCAGTCAGAACAAGGATTGAACTCTGTGCTTTTGACATCAAGCTGATCCACGTTGGCTTCCAACTAACTGAGCCAAAGAGCCTGACCAAGAAGTCAAAGTTGCTATAGGAACATACACTTTTCTGTGCATGGAGCTTAGAGCAATGAACAGTGCTAAAAATGGCTACAATTCTTTCCTAGCTAACCTCCCATTCTTACTGCCTGCCATTGGCATCCATTGGGAGGATTTAGAATTTAATTCTCAATCTGGAGTCACCTTCCTTGGTCAGGAAGTGCTAGAGCCTGGAGTTTCCAGCTCAGAGGCAGGATGTTACCCACTGCACTACAAGACCTTTCTTTTTTCCTTATTCATTCATAGGATGCCAATGCCAATGGCAAAGCCAGCATTTGTTGCTCATCCCTAACTGCCCTAGAAACTGAATGGATTGCTAGGTCATTTCAGAGGGCAGTTAAGAGACAGCCACATTACTGCGCATCTGAAGTCACATGTAGGCCAGAATGGCTAAGGAAAGCATACTTCCTTCCCTAAAGGACATTAGTGAGCCAGGTGAGATTTTACAAAAAAGAATGCTGACTATCATAGTCGTCATTATTGAGAATGGTTTTATATTCCAGAATTATTAATTGAATTTAAATTTCACTAGCTGTCATGGTAGTATTTAAAACCATGTCCTCAGCTTTACCCCCTGTTTCTGGATAAGTAATGCACTGACATTACCACTTTGCCCCATTTACCTATAAACCTAACCGTCCTCTGCATATCTTACAATGATTCTTGACTGTTCTGCACTGAAACATATGAAGGCAGGGTGCCAACTTCTTAATTGGGCAAGAGAGAACAATTAATAAATTTGTTAAGAATTATTTATGGAATGAATAGATTAACCCTTAACAACAAGACCTGATATTGCCTGCATAATATTTCCAGTTTACTTTGATGGATTATGCCAAATCCCATTTTTATTACATGCGCTTTTGTGATTTTCACCTTTGCTTATGGTTTCATTTCTTAAATACAAGCATTTACTGTGAAACCCATATGCCTGCTTTATTTCCCAATGAGCCATTTACTGAAAACTTTTTATTCAAACAGGGCTGCATTTACTAGTTATGACACCCACTTCATCCCATTATCTTTGGAAAAAAACATTTTTGTCCCTGCTCAAGAACTTTAGTTTCACATTTCAATCTTGTGAAGATATGACTATTGGCACAATCAATAAAACATTTTCTGCATCTCAGTACCAACACAATCTCTAAATTAAAATAATACATAGAGTGCTATATTAACCACAACAAACATACATTAGAACACATGACGCAGATGTTACAGTATACAGCTGCAATATGCAAACCTTGCAACACTCATTAGTCTCAGTTGAGTCACTGCCTCTATGCTTTTAGCAGAGAGCAATGCTATTTATATGACCTCATGTGACAAATAAAAATAACTCTTCACCTCATGCTCAGGCTCACTTTTTCCATTCAGACAGTAAATGTTTGTCATAATTGAATTTCTTGATGCAACAGCTTGGTTGCAAAACATTCATGGAATGTATTACAAGCTCATTTGTGCTGTTCTCCTTACAATTAAACATCTCCCTCTGCCAAGGCTTTCCTTCTACTTTGACCACTGTTGTAGTAAGAATATAGTTCTGAATTAGTATCATGGCTGCATAGGATAATGATAATAATTGCTTAATACAGAACTGAGTGGGAACCATTGAACAATAAGATGTATTTATGACAATTCAAACCACATACAGCTAACTTCCAGCTCTCCAACTAAACCTGCAGTGGGCACATCAACTGATCTCAACATTACAATTTTGAATCAGAGATAGTAGGAACTGCAGATGCTGGAGAATCCGAGACAACAAGGTGCAGAGCTGGATGAACACAGCAGGCCAAGCAGCATCATAGGAGCAGAAATTCCGCCCCCTCAATATTTTGCTATCATATTTTCTGTGGATACTAGCTCTAATTCCAGGAGTGACAGCTACCCTGCAATATCTCAACTATGTGGCCTGTCATCAGCTGTGAGTCCAACACGAGTAAACTTTAAAATTTATAGGCTATTAAAAATTAATCTTCCTTCAGAAAATAACCAAAGTAATGGAAATATGTAATCATGAACTTTATCAACTGCTTCCATATTTATAGAGTTTTTATTATTCTAATGAGCAAAAATTTCCAACAATATGCAATTCCTCAGTGATGCCCACAAGATGGCAAATAATCTAAACAGGCATCACTCAATCCTTTGGACTTGCTGAAGTAATAATATTTATAGCTGTACACGTTAAAAACATCAAAATCCACAAGTTCTCTCCATCATGGCAAAGTCATCAGTTCAGGCAATCATTTTTTGTACTTATTGATAGCCTCAGTAGCCATTAACATTGTCAAACATGAGAGATGACTAAGAATGTTTAAAGTTAATTTGCGAGATGAATGAATCAAGTTAATTTCGAAGCGATAATGTCTACTTAAACTGCCAAAAAAATTTAAATACAGGATAAAGCTATCAGTACATAACATATTTACATAGTTTGGATTGTGGAATTGCAGAATACAGTTTCTGTATTGACAGTGTGCTGTCAACAGTAGATGTGCAGCACTCCAGCTGGTGACAGCACAATATGTACATAATGGAAGCAAACACAATGATTTTACACTGTATCAGAGACAGCATAAATGCAGATCTCTATTCTACAGATGCTTGAGTAGCACAATAAGATACCCATTTTCAAAGTTGCAGGTCTTTGTGTGTCACTTTTCTAGTACTACACCAATTATATCAAAGTATAACCTAGTTGCAGTATTTAGCATATATTGCAAAGGTAAAAGACTCAACAGATTAAAATGATCATCCAATACGCTGGAAGAGGATAAAAGCTTACCTCCATTGAGCCTTATTATGCAGAAAGGAATTGCATTGGTCTGGAAGTTTGCTGTCATGTGACATAATCTCAAGAATCCCCAAGACCTGTTTAAAATTTGGCCTTTTCTGTAGGAACCAACAACAAGCAAACATAAATGCAGTAATCAAATAATTACATATCCTGTACACCGTGGGGCTCTTCTATAAATTTAATTTAAATGGAAGTCAACGATTTTAACAACTGGTTGAAACATACACGTTGCATTGAACGTTACTGAACATAGACTTGAGGTACAGTACTATAATGAATAGTGAAAACATGAGCCTAAAATTACATAGAGATATTGAGGAATTAAGTGAGTGGGCAAAATGTTTGTAGAGCAGTTAGGTGTTAGATCTCTCTTTGTTAGACAAAAAAAGTTAGATCTGATTATCATTTAATAGTAAAGATCCAAGGAGATTTATGAGTCCACAGTTCACTAAAGTAGTAGGTAAAAATAAATCATAAAGACTAATGAAAGGTTAGTCTTCATAATTAGAGGGAAAGAATATAAGGGGATGAAAGTCTTGCTACAACTACGCAAAGCTCTGGCTGGACCATGTCAAGTTGAGCATTTAGTTCTGGGCATTTAGTCAGGAAATACTACTCTTGGAAGCAGTACAGTGCCAACTCACTTGAATGTGATGAGGGCTTCAATGGTTAGGATATTAAAAGGGACATAAATTTGACTTTGTTCAAAACATGAAGCTTATAAGATTATAACGGGCTTTGAATTTAGGATAAAATGAAGTGATAATGTGCTGGTTGATATGTTAAATATTAAGGGAAGCCTGGGGTTTTTTTTTGGAAGGAAGTTGAAAAGGTTTTCACACAATGTCAGCAACATTGTTCAGTTGTTTGACAGCTAATTTCCAAAGACTCAGGGAGGTGTTGAGAATGTCGGGGTATAAACAATTATGCTTTAATGATTCATTTGATTCCAGGATTCATTTGATTGCGGTCACAAGGATAGTTAATCAGCATTTCTCCTTGGATACAAGTCCATGTATTTCATGTTGTTATGCACATAGGCTTGAGAGGACAACAGTTTTAAGTTATCTCTGAAAACCCAGGTACAGGCAGTCTGCTAAGATCTGGGAGAGAGAGGGCTGCTGGAGGCTGAGAATCTCTATGTTTCACTATGAAAAAATAAAGCAGAAATTTTGTGCTCAGACTGAAAAGATCAAATATGTGACGTAAGAATCAAGGCTGGAAGATTTGCCAGCTTGAGCTGTAACAGATTCATTAGAAATATCCTCACTGTAAATGACTGATTGTTCTGAGGTTAAATTTGCCAGGCTGGGAAAGAAGAGGTACAATGTAAACTATAGGGAGACAACAATCACTTTGGGCTGGGTCTTGGAAAATTGAATGACACTTAGAAGACCCTGTAAAGTGTAAAGTGTATGCGAGGCGGTCCTCTTGTTTAAATTAAGCATTAAAGTCACCACAGATCATTTAAATGTCAGTTACCTACACGAATAGTATTTTAGTCAATTGTACTTTTAGACTGTTATGTAAAAGTCTTGAAACATGAAATTTTGTGCTATCCTTTTGGTTGTCAATTGGAAATTCAAATTTTACTTTAAAGTTATTGGTCTCTCAGTGATCATAACATCCTGCATTCCATGGAATAAAGAGGATTAAAGGGAGGATTTCATTTTTTTTAGGATTTTTAAAGATGGTACTGGGATACATAGAAAGAAAATTTTAGCTGGCAGGAGATTTGAAGGGGTCATAACCATTGTAGTGTCCCTCTGAGCCAGGAGACCTGGGATCAAGTCCTATTTGCTCTAGAGGTATGTAATAACACCTCTGAACAGGTTGATTAGAGGTTCGAGAGTCTGAGGAAGGGTCACCGGACCTGAAACGTTAACTCTGATTTTCTCTTCACAGATGCTGCCAGGCTCACAGAGCTTTTCCAGCAACTTCTGTGTATGTTCTTGATTAGAAAATAAATAGAATCAAAGCCAGGCATTTCAGAGGAGAACTTAGGAAATACTTCTTCAAACAAAGGATAGAAGAAGTTTGGAAAGCAGTCCCAAAAGAAAGCTGTAGATGCTAGCTCAATGGGAAATTTAAAACTGAGATCTATAGGCTTTTGCTGGACAAGGGAGTTTAATACTAGGGCAGGTGGATGGAGTTAAGATACCAATCAACTACAATCTCACTGAACGGCTCGAGAACTTAATGATCTGATCTCATGCTCTTAATTAATCAAACAGTTGTTTAGTTCTGGATAATCATTGCACTGAAGTTGCTTATTTTATTTTCTTTACAACATTTACACCTTTTAGTACTGAATCAGCATGTGGAAGCTAGTGCTTTTCTACAGCTTTGAGAACAGTGACTAATACTGCAGTGACATTTAATCTACTTCTGTAACACCAAAAAAATCATAATGCGGTAACTGTGATTGACAGTACAACTATTTCTTTCTGAAGAAAGGAGACAGCATATGTAAAGCACTGACTTCTAACAGCAATACAAACGTGAAAAAGAAATGCCCGCAAATACATCATTTCAAAAAGCCAAATCCTGAAGAGAAACAGTGCAAATGCAAAATATCAGAGTTTAAATTATTTTGGTGAAGTCCAATAGATTGAAAAGTTCTATAGGTCATTTTATGTTAAAAGTGAGTAGCTGATAGCAAGTGCACAGTACTCCTGTTGGCAGCTGCACTCATAAATATGACCTTCATTATTCTGACAGCAGTAGACCACTGTTGTGTCCATCTTGAAAGCTGCTGCCACATTCACTGACTCCACTTCTGGCCTATTAAATGTGAGTCACGACATCAATGTCAGCAGCAAGAATACAGTCCATCCACACTAAGTGGTGAAGATCTTGTCAGTAATTTTCTGCAAGAATAGTACTTGATTTTCAGATAATTGATGCTGATTGTATTTGTACAGGAGGGCAGTGTGCAGTTCTATTTAGTAATAGTAGCTTGGAGAACGATAGTGGCGACTCTGAAATGTGGCATACTGCTGATCATGGCAAGCTGCCCAATTAGAAACTGGTGGAAACTAAGAGCTAGAGTGACATCATTCTGCTGCATGCATGGACAGGAAAGCAAGGCAGTATTCTCAAACTGACCTCCTATGGGCCTATGGAGAGCCACATTGGGCGAGTAGGATAAATGGGAGTTAGGAGCCCATGGAGATTGGTATAATATAACACGATTGCAAAATAAAAGCACCATAAACGAGTGAATCACAGCTGTATTTTTCTTTACACTTTTAACACAGTACGTTGCTCTACCTCTCAATCAGTACGTTTTAGGAACATTGCATTAGATGCTTCAGGCTTTGTGAAGGAACTATGGTTATAAATGGTTACATTTGTGGAATCTATCAACATTTTCGGAGGTCTAAAAACAAAAGTACAGAAGGCTGCAATGTGTTCATACACAGTAAGATGATCCCAAGAGATCTCTAAGAGAGATCCACCACTATTTAGAAATGGTCTCTTCTGTTGATTTCATTCATAGAAAGTCAAATGGAGATTTACGTGGCTTATGAAAATGTGGGTCTCCGAAGACTGTAAATCTTGTATTGGATAATGCTGTAAGGTAACAGCAGAACCTCCTCAACAGTCCCTTCCTCCCAAATCAACTGTCATCAATAGCATTCATTTAACATAAAAAAAAATTGTTTTAAATCTCAGAACGCACTTTGGGATCCGTTTCCCAGCACTGATGCAGGAGTTCTGCGAAACTGGCAGGACAGCCCTTCGGAATGGTCAATCTCTGAAATAAGAATAGAACAAATATTACACAAAGGTGAATCTTTAAAAAAGAAGCACTAAGAATAGAACCAACAAAGGTCGGGAACTTCTCAATTTCCTTTCTGGATGTGAAGCCAACATGTTGGCAGTCGCTAATTTCTTTATTCATTAATGGGATGAGTGTGTCGTTGGCTAGGGCAACATTTATTGTCCAGAGGGTAGATTAAGAATCAACCACATTGCTGTGGGTCTAGAGTCACATATAGGCCAGACAAGGTAAGGATGGCAGTTTCCTTCCCTAAATGACACAGTGAATCAAATGGGTTTTTCCTGACAATCGACAATGGATTCATGGTCATCACCAGATTCTTAATTCTAGATATTTATTGAATTCAGATTCCATGATCTGCCATGGCCGGATTCAAACCCAGATCCCCAGAACATAATCTTGGTCTCCAGATTAACAGTCCAGCATTAATACCACTAGGCCATCACCTCCCCACGTCCCTAATTGCCCACGAAAGGTTAATGTTGAACTACAGCAGTCAGTGGTGTAGGAAGAAGTTCCAGAATTGTGACCCAAAAACAATGAAAAAAACAGCAATATAGCTCCAAGTCAGGGCAGTGTATGGTTTTGCAGAAACTTTCAGGTGCCCTTGTCCTTTCAGATAGTAGAGGTCACAGGTTTGGAAAGTGCTATCAAATGAGGCTTGATGAAACGTTGTCATGGTGTGTGACGCACTGATAGCAATGTCATTGAATGTCAAGAGAGGATGGGTAGATTCTTTCATGACAGATAATCATTACCTTGAACATATGTGAAAAGAATTTTACTTTCCACTTATTGGCCAACGCATGAAGGTTGCTCATATTTTGTTGCGTGCCGGCATGGTTCCTTCAGTACTTTAAGTATCACAAATGGTACTGAAGCAGTGAAAATCTCCACTTCTGACATCATGATGAGGGAAGGTCAAGCAGCTGAAGGTAGTTGGGACTAGGACATTAATAACCTGAGAAACTCTTGCAGTGATGTCCTGGAACAAAGGTGACTGACAGCCAACAACCACAAGCATCATCCTTTGATCTAGGTATGACTCTCACCAGTGAAGAGCATTCCCTCACCAATTCTGGTCAACTCCAGTTTCTCTAGGCCTCTGCAATACCAAACTCAGTCAAATGCTGTCTTGATATCAAAGGCAGTCACACTCATCTCACCTGTAGAATTCTGTCCTTTTGTCTACACTTGGAATAAGATTGTGATGAGGTTTATCTTTAACAGTAGCTTTTAGAGTGTGCTGGTGAACTGTTTAACTGCACGAAACATTGTTGATAAGTCTGCTCGTGTTCTCATTAAATGTGCACATGTGCAATGGGCAATAAGAAGATTGTGAGCAGGCCAAATTTCCCCATTCTACCCAAGAGATATTAAATCAACCTCCACATGTCAGTTAAATCAGCACAGACCTGGAGGAAAGTTATGTTACTACCGTATATGGCTTATTAGCCCACCGCATGTTATATTTACTGACTAAGACACTTGCTGAGTTGTTAAACTGGGTCTTTTAAAAACAAATGCTCCAAGCTTGGGAAAGTCAAGAAAATAAAGTTATGTTCTCATGAACAGCATTTATACAAGGAGATAAAACAAAGAACTGTGAATGCTGAAGTTTAGAAACAATGCTGCCACAGAAACTGCCGTACCTGCGGAGTTTCTTCAGCAATTTGTGTTTTGATTTCAACAAGTAATATTGGCTCTCCACCATACCATTGACTCAATGTACAGATTTTGCAATAGATATTTTCTGGATTCAATATCACTGAATACTCAAGTAAGTAAACCTTTGTTCCCTACAATTGTCGTACAAGGTAATAACTCTGAAAGCGTTAATGCTGAATTCTGTATTAAACTCCAGCCAATTTGACGATGTTATAAGGACCGGAAAGGTGGAAGCAAAACATCTCAGGACTTTGAAGGAGACAGACATATTGTCCTAGGTTTTCCAATAGTCTTAGTAACAATGTCAAATTTACTAATAAAACTTGTTGCAGGGCTGGATGAACACAGCAGGCCAAGCAGCATCATAGGAGCAGAGAGGCTGACGTTTCGGGCCTAGACCCTTCATCAGAAAAGGGGGAGGGGAAGGGGGTTTTGAAATAAATAGGGAGAGAGTGGGAGGCGGATAGAAGAGGGATAGAGGAGAGGATAGGTGGAGAGGAAACAAACAGGTCGAAGAGGCGGGGATGGGGCCAGGAAAGGTGAGTGTAGGTAGGGAGTTAGGAAGGGGATAGGTCAGTCCAGGGAGGACGGACAGGTCAAGGGGGCGGGATGAGGTTGGTCGGTAGGAGATGGAGGTGCGGCTTGAGGTGGGAGGAGGGGATAGGTGGGAGGAAGAACAGGTTAGGGAGGCAGGGACGAGTTGGACTGGTTTTGGGATGCGGTGGGGGGAGGGGAGATTTTGAAACTTGTGAAATCCACATTGATACCATTGGGCTGCAGGGTTCCCAAGCGGAATATGAGTTGCTGTTCCTGCAACCTTCGGGTGGCATCGTTGTGGCACTGCAGGAGGCCCAGGATGGACATGTCGTCTGAGGAATGGGAGGGCGGGTTGAAATGGTTCGCGACTGGGAGGTGCAGTTGTTTGTTGCGAACCGAGCGTAAGTGTTCTGCAAAGCGGTCCCCGAGTCTCCGCTTGGTTTCCCCGATGTAGAGGAAGCCACACCGGGTACAGCGGATGCAGTATACCACATTGGCAGATGTGCAGGTGAACATCTGCTTGATGTGGAAAGTCTTCTTGGGGCCTGGGATGGGGGTGAGGGAGGAGGTATGGGTGCAGGTGTAGCACTTCCTGCGGTTGCAGGGAAAAGTGCCGGGTGTGGTGGAGCTGGAGGGGAGTGTGGAGCGGACAAGGGAGTCACGGAGAGAGTTGTCCCTCCGGAAAGCAGATAAAGGTGGGGAGGGAAAGATGTCTTTGGTGGTGGGGTCGGATTGCAGATGGCGGAAGTGTCGGAGGATGATGCGTTGGATCCGGAGGTTGGTGGGGTGGTACGTGAGGACGAGGGGGATTCTTTTTTGGTTTTTATTGCGTGGACGGGGTGTGAGGGATGAGTTGCGGGAGATGTGGGAGACACGGTTGAGGGCGTTCTCGACCACCGAGGAGGGGAAGTTACGGTCCTTGAAAAACGAGGACAACTGAGATGTACGGGAGTGGAATGCCTCATCCTGGGAGCAGATGCGGCGGAGGCGAAGGAATTGGGAATAGGGGATAGCATTTTTGCAGGAAGGTGGGTGGGAGGAGGAGTATTCTAGGTAGCTGTGGGAGTCGGTGGGCTTGAAATGAATATCGGTTTCGAGGTGGTTGCCCGATATGGAGACAGAGAGGTCCAGGAAGGGGAGAGAGGTGTTAGAGATGGTCCAGGTAAATTTAAGGTTGGGGTGGAAGGTGTTAGTGAAGTGTATGAACTGTTCGAGCTCCTCGTGGGAGCACGAGGCGGCACCGATACAGTCATCAATGTAACGGAGGAAGAGGTGGGGTTTCGGGCCGGTGTAGGTACGGAAGAGGGATTGTTCCACGTAACCTACAAAGAGGCAGGCGTAGCTTGGGCCCATGCGGGTACCCATGGCTACCCCCTTTGTCTGTAGGAAGTGGGAGGAATTGAAAGAGAAGTTGTTGAGTGTGAGGACGAGTTCGGCTAAGCGGATGAGGGTGTCAGTGGAGGGGGACTGGTCGGGCCTGCGGGACAGGAAGAAGCGGAGGGCCTTAAGGCCATCTGCATGGGGAATGCAGGTGTAGAGGGACTGGACGTCCATGGTAAAGATGAGGTGTTGGGGACCGGGGAATTGGAAGTTCTGGAGGAGGTGATTTCACAAGTTTCAAAATCTCCCCTCCCCCCACCGCATCCCAAAACCAGTCCAACTCGTCCCTGCCTCCCTAACCTGTTCTTCCTCCCACCTATCCCCTCCTCCCACCTCAAGCCGCACCTCCATCTCCTACCGACCAACCTCATCCCGCCCCCTTGACCTGTCTGTCCTCCCTGGACTGACCTATCCCCTTCCTAACTCCCTACCTACACTCACCTTTCCTGGCCCCATCCCCGCCTCTTCGACCTGTTTGTTTCCTCTCCACCTATCCTCTCCTCTATCCCTCTTCTATCCGCCTCCCACTCTCTCCCTATTTATTTCAAAACCCCCTTCCCCTCCCCCTTTTCTGATGAAGGGTCTAGGCCCGAAACGTCAGCCTCTCTGCTCCTATGATGCTGCTTGGCCTGCTGTGTTCATCCAGCCCTGCACCTTGTTGTCTCCGATTCTCCAGCATCTGCAGTTCCTACTATCTCTAATAAAACTTGTACCTGATTACTACCATGCAATAAACTATAACCTGTTTAAGACAATAGCCTTTTGACTCATTCACCTCCCCACCGGTTTTCCTCTGTCTTTAGACTGAATAGGTCCTACAGACCCAGTCAGAAAATAGGATGGTGGCAGCAATCTGACCAACTACAAGTCGGCAGCGTTCCATCCAATTTTCTTTCCGGCCGAATGGGCCTCCAAACACTATGCACAGATAGCATCAACGTCCTGAATCTGAAGTCAATGCTGTGACTGGCGTGCCAATGCCAAACACTATATGCAGAACCTTGAAGTGGCTGCATTTGCCCACTTCCTTAGGGGGGATGCTGGCTGACATCACATACTTATGGTCACAACAGCAATCAGGAGCAAATTTAATTAGCAGATAAATGATACGATCAGGAGTTGCAACATGCAAGTCTATTCCATTTAGTAGCCACTGAAAAGTTCTGTGCACTTTCCTTTCACTGCTGAAAGTACTGTATGCTGAAACAGAGCAGTGTACATGTTTCATCATTAAGTACCTACGATTTTTAGTTAATCAAAAACAAAGATGCAACTTTACTCAATCCCTGGGCACAAGATAACTTATTTCCGCATACAGAGCGGATTGTGTATTTATATTAAAGGCTACCGGGAGTCACCCAAGCTATGTGAAAGGGAGAGGAAGACAC